ATTATAGAGAAACTTGTACATTGTGGCTTTCATCCTGAAAATATTTTAATTTTGGCGTATCTTAAATTGTTGATTTTATACTTGCCATTCAATAAATATAGATAAATTTAATCGAAGGAGTATCTCCTTATATGAGTCCAGAATATTAATAGAAAGTCATGCACTAACGCTGCAGGCACAATTCCTTTAGTAATTCGAAGAAACCTCAGTTTAATCTCCCTCAATTTGTTAAAATTATCCATCTTTGCGAACTAATAGCAATAGTCAAGTAACATCAAAGGAAATTCATGAAAATTTATCTATCACTATACGTTAAAATCAATTACAAAATTTGAATTGTGAAATATTGTAATAAAAACATTTTACTAAGAATCAACCTATGATAGAAAAACTCGTGAGATTGACAAATAAACAGAAATTTTACTTTCACCTGGAATGTACAAACTAATACTCGTAGAGTCTAAGTTTTAAGTAATTTTTATATGAAATATCATAATTTATATTTTGAAATGAAATAATAATTACCTTGTTTATTGGCGTTGTAATTATTTCTAAAGTAAATTAGACTAAGTGTAAACTATATTTTTTGTTTATTCATACTTTTATGGATTTTTTTCTATGCATTTCTATATTAAGACAATTTTTTCATCTAGTTTAGAGCCATAGAACTGAAAATGTAGAATAATCAGTTTCCGTATATAGGTATCTTTATTATTTGAATACCAGATGGACTTGATAAAGCCACAAAGCTCCGTTTTTGGAATAGGATCACACAATTTTTCAATAATACATTTATACATTATTTGATATCGTAGGTCGTATTCCTTTATAGATTTCTATCATGAATTTTTCACATAATTGCGATTCACCAGCCAATAACTCGTACACTTTCATTCCAAAACTATAAAATAACTGAAATCTTAGTGTACAATTAATCATTTAACATCGCCGAACTCATATAAGAGAGTACTACAGAAGTTTCGCGATTAGGTTTTATTCTATGGTCCAGAAAGTTTAAAATCAGCAATGATGGGATAATACAGTAGTAATATATTACTAGAATGAAAACAAGGAGCACGAATCCCTCTCTGTGAATTGTATTTAGTCTCAAATAATGACAATACGAAACCTTAATTTTTGACCCAATTCAATATTTTTGTAGTTGAATGAATAAATGCATATATCAGCTTAAAAGTCATTGCTTCGAGTATCCCCCAACAAAATTCTTACCATGTGGCATCAAAATTGATGGCGTTTCGTAAAAATTCTTACTTTGTGGTATTAACATCAACGTTACCTTCTCCAATAATATGAATTCATTACAAACATTCTTACTTTGCGTTCCAAAGAATGTGAGACTATAAACATTCGTATCGTACGTTATTCTCTTGATTCATGGATGTAATTACAAAATTTCTACCAAATCTATCAAATTCAGTTTTTGTGCTGTATGCAATAATTACTTTATTTTTTGTATAATTACAATTAATCCTACTTTGGTTTTACAATTAACTCTATTATTCTTTGTCTTAATAAAAAATTCTTACAAAATTCTTATTTTGTACGTATATACTAATAATTTAAGCTTTCAATAGATCTGTCATATTAATATGTAATGGATAAAATTCAAAAATGAAAAGTTTACTTCTGAAAAAATCACAAAAAATCACATGATCAGAACTTTTTTTGACAGATTATACTAATACTTGATTTTTATTTTTTATACAGTATTATGCGGTGCAGTTATGCATTTTTATGCAATTTACATAATGATAAAAAATCATTGTCTCTGCACCCAAACTCGGAATAAATCATGTGCAAAGCCACAATAGATATTAACGTTAAAAGTAAAGCATCTAAGCCTGCACGTCACTGTGAAAAAAGTATCAGATCATGTGATTTTTAAAAGGTAAATCAATCAAAACAAAACGTTTATTTTTCTGTGTTCTAACAAAAAATGATGACCACTAGGTGGCGACTGCATAATTGGCATAATTGGCATAATTGATCAAAAAATTATTTTAATATAAAGCCCAATGTATTGGACCAACTTAAGTTGAATTTAACTATGGAAGAAAATTATAAAGTCTTTGATTTGGCATATGTGATTTTATTTATCGCTAATTTATTATTCTTGAATAATTTACCTGATAAATTATTACACTTGGAAATAAAGTATATGCACATGTATAGTTTATGTTGTATGCATATAACATAACAAAATGGAAGTGGGATCACGAGATTTGTAAATCAAAGATTACATTTGTATCAACTTACTTCTGCGCCGACAGCTAGGAAAGGAAATACCATTAATTCTTCTTTGGGAATATACATTATACTTTGTATAAATAACGAAAAAAGAATTTTCGTGTCATGTTAATCTAACTTGGCGTTATAATATGCATGCGCTCCTTATCTGATAACTTATTGCACTTTAAACTATGGAAATAAGTATCTGCGCCGGTGCATCTAAATTAGCTAAGAAAGGGAATACCCATTAGTTCCTCTTTAGGAAATATAAATATAAAGGAATAAAGATTTCCGTGTGAAATCAACTTGGCGTTATTACATGCATGCGTTCCTTAAAATTCTCTGATAATATTTATTTACCAAAATTGATTTTAATCGCCTGGCACCATACTCGTATAAACAAGTTATAATTTTAGAAAATCTCTATAGAAATGTTAATTCGAGAATCTTTACCATCCTTTGTATATAAGATCCACTTATTTCATTACAGACAAATTAAATCACTGAAGTTTCTTTGTGTACAAATTCATTATGCAAAACGACCTTTTAGATGATTTTTGTGACTGTATGGACCAGTGGAGCCGTGGTGAAGGAGAGTCTCTTCGCTATGCCTTCGATCTTGGAAAACTGTTATTAAAAGCAAATCAAAAAAATAAGAAAAAAGATGGATCCACTCGCGGGATCTTCATTATCGGTGATCAGAGTTCTTCAAAGTCTACCACCGTGAATAGCATCATCAAACAAGTCGCCCTTCAAATGGGCAATAATACCGTCACTAAAATTAGAACATGGATTGAGCATCGATACGATTCAGAGCTTAAGGATGCAAAGTATGAACTGCTGATAGAACAGCAAGGAAAACAAGATAATCCGATTTTTAAAGACGGTACTCTACAGGATTTAACCAGGGAATTCACGAAACTAAACAAGGAACGTATGGATGATAAAAAGGATGCACGGATTATCATTCATTCCAACATTCCATCCTTTGCAATCGATTGCTGTGATAATCCGGGGCTGACGCCAACCAGTGCTGAAACGCAGAAGATTACCGATAATATTACGAGACGTACACTAGAAATGGTGTTGGAACGTCAGAAGTCAAAAAATGACAGTGTAGTGGTGTTATGCATCTCGGCACTGGTTTTTGAAAATGCATCTTGGCCGCGACATATGGATCTGATAGAAAAAATCAATGGCGACACACTGCTCGTCCTTATAACAAGGATGGATCAACTCAATATTGGAGGAATTGCCCAAGAGATGAGGGCTGATAAAGGCATTATTAATGGGCTTCATCGTTGTAGTCCTTTGGACATCCTCAAGTATATTCGCATGAAAATTGAGCGTCAAGCTGGCTCTTATAAATTTCCAGAGGGTGTGCAATTTTATTATGTAGCTTCCAGCAATGAAAGTTGGGATAATTTGATGGAGAATGGGTGGAGCGCATTTGAAAAATCGGAAAACGAGAACAATAAAACATTGGAGAAAATTCTATATAACGAAGATGAATGGCGTAGGTATGGGATTGAACTAGCTGAAATGGGTCTGATGCAGAGTGAAGAATTAAAAAGTTCTGTCGGAATGAAAAAATTACAGGAAAGATTGCAGCAGACCTTACATATCCACATCGTGAAGGCTGCTGAAGAACTTATAAAGGATATATCGGAACGGAAATCTAGCGCAAATACAGAGCTGAATCTAAAAATGAAACGCCTCAAGCCATCCAAAGATCGAGCAGGGATGATATCTGAATTCTGCAAACAGTTTATATTAGTATTCCAAACACTTTTTTCTTCACCGCTATATACCCCAACCATTTACTCTGATCCTTGGTTAAAAGAATTTGGGGAAGGGATCAAAAGGGCACGGGAAACTAGTGCAGACTATGGATGGTCATTGAAGGATATGTGGGAAATTTTTGCAACTCTTAGAGGCACCGACGGATACGCAGAGTTTCCACCTGAAGATTTTCAAGGCTCAAATTTTCATGAATACATCGAAAAAATTGAGAATTATATCTACCCTGTTAATGATCGTTTTAATACAGCACAGATGCTAATACAACGATTAATACAAGAATTTACCATGCGATCAACTTTAATAGATCTACCTATGCTTAATGTTGACGAATTCGTTTCACGTCAAGTGCAAGCGTCAACGTCGAGCAAATTAAGTTTTGGTGAGGCCGTTGAACAAAAGATCAGTTGTGATTATGTCCGGATTTTCCATGAATCTGAAAAGGGGAATGTTGCAGGAAATCCTGTTGTGCACGGAGGTAATCAATGGGTGGCTATCTTTGGGGCCTTGTGTCTATTATTACATGCAGAATATGCTGTCCGTATTATGCGCGACACTGCTTTTTCTTCCTTGTTACAAGTTCAAAGTGATAACCCTATGCAAGGGATCTTGGTCTCTAAATTTGAACAGTACTGGAGCTTGAGTCAGAGCTACAAAAATAAAAATTCGACGGATAAGCAAAGTTCGGAGGATCAAATTGCAAACATTATGAAGAAGATGATAAAAGATAAAATGAATTCTAAAAAATCTTCACCTAAAATAAACAAAGTATTGCCGATTGAAGATCTTTCGTGGGCACTCTATTCCATGTTCTTTGAGGGCCCATATAATCATTTTAAGAAGACATTTGATGCACGTACTGATCTATTGGTGATGACTCATTCTACGTCACTTGTTCATTTTTATCAGTTGAGTGGCATCTGCGTGTATCAGGATGAAGAGTACTTAATCAAATGGGCGGCAGATAATCCAAATTCGGCATATGCGAGGGCTTTTCTGATTACGGAACCGGAAGTCAAGGAAGGTGTAGAGGCCCTTTCAAAAGTAGTGGAATCGCTTTATCTTACCTTTGTGAGAGAAAACCTGCAAAAAATCCATAGAGGGAAAAAGATTGATAATGAATCTAAGGGCAAAACAGAGGACTATTCCGATATTTTTTCAAACCTCTCGGAAGCATTAACTGAACGAGTCAGAGCCATTGTAAAAGGTAGACCAATAGATACAGAAGATAAGGTAAAACTATTCGTAAATCTCGCGGATATGGGCAAAAATCCGGACACGTTCGAAGAGCCTGAGAGTAAGACCCGTTTTTCCGAAAAAGAAGAAGCTTCCGTGAATTACATCTATAAACGTCGTTTGACGATGGGAATTACAAGTAGTGTTATCGACGCCACTCAGCAGCTTGTTAAAGTGCAATATGAATACAGTCATCCACAAACTGCCCCAACCCGGCAACGTGAACTACTTGGTCGTGTCGCATCACTGATGCTTGGATATGGGTATCCCTATCATCCTGATTCTCGCCCTTCATCAAAATGGTACCTCTCGCTAAAGGTGATCGTCAAATTTCTTCAAGCAAACGAAGATGTCTTTGAAGCTATGTCTAGCTCTCCTGAGGAAGAATTCGACTATAAAGACTATAAAGCTTTACTTGATATTCGATTACTAGATTCACCGATTGTCAAACGCATTATCTCCTTGTGCAGATCTATCGATACTGATAACAATGAGCATAATTTCAGAACAGTGTCAAATTATATCAAACGGCTTGAAGATACAAAACGTGACGATGAGGATGCATATATAATTGAGTTTCTTGCCGACGAACGATTCAATTGGCAGCCAGACGAGGAATCTCTAAAAAGAAGAGTAGATGCTTTAAATGATGTTATAAACAAATGCAGTAAATGGCATTATTATCTTGAAGAATACAACAAAATTGCGGAAAAAGTCTTGATGGGTAAGGATGACATAAAACCCGAAATAGATTTTAACGAGGAGGAATTTTATAGCAAGCTTGATGAATCTGCCGATGAGGATGACGAATGATCAATATCCTTCCTTCATTTTTTCTTTCAGTTCTTTTGATATATTTAGGATTGTATTTAAACAATATATGTTTCGGGATTATTAAATCTTCATGAATGACATTTTTTTTAGTTTTTTTCTTAAGAATTCAAAATAAATTCATATTAGTATATACAGTAGCTCACTTAAGAAATGGAACACGAAAAATTTTACGAAAAGAAATTCTAGTGACTCTAACATCGATTTAGAATACCTAGTTCCTATACTCATTTTAAAGCTAATAACCTAGAAAATATTTTAAAAATCCTAAAAACTATATTAAT